CGCCGCCGGCTCCCGCAGCCCCGCAGGCGCCGCGCTCCCTGCGCTCCTGCCCCTCGCCCCTGCCGCCTTCCACTCCTCCCCGCTGCCGGGGGAAGCCCCAGAGCCCGAGCCCTCCCTGCCCTGGCCCGCGGAGAAGTTGGGGTGCTCCCAGCGGTCTTCCCGGAGCTCTGAGTTTAGGGCGGGATTTTCCTTCACCGCTCTTTCGCTTTATTTTAGGCTTGGGTTTTGGTCGGATTTTTTTTTTTTTCCTTTCTTTCTTTATTTCCCTTTTTTTTTCTCGTTACCGAGCGAGCCGAGCGTCTGCGATGGACGGCAGCCCGGAGCCCCCCCCGGGCAGAAGCGCCCCGTAAGCCTGGGCGGCGCGCCCGGCGGGGCATGGAGATGTTTGGGGGAATTGGATGTCAGAGAACAGTGGAAGTCTCATTTTGGAGAGAGCATAGCACATAATATCAAAAGGTCCTTGATTTAATTCTGTATTTCAAAAAAAATACTGAGTAAGGACATCTTTCAAACTTTGGTGACAGTAATAGGAATACCAAAAAAAGCAGGTAGAAGAAAAGCTAGGTGTTCTCATTTGCAGTCAGTGAACCAAGTCAACAGAAGAAAATGCATCTGAAATACAATGATTAAGGACAGAAAAAAGAATTTTCATTTTTTACTCAATGTGTCATGCTTTTAAACAGGATTAAATTTGTATGTGCATAATGAAAATGCCCATAGTTACACTACCTGTTTATTATAAGCAAAATGTCGCCTTGTGGCACTAGGAAACACATTGTTTTATTGTTTAATAATTTTCTGCTGCAGGATTTCTGAATTTATCTGTGATGGTTTTAATGTTGGACATTGGAGAAGGAAGTAATCGAATTGGTTTAAAAGGGGCTGACTTCCAAAGGGTCGGTACCTTGCTATTTCTGAAGTTGTCTTGAAAATATTTCCACCTGAAAATCCAAATATTAAGGCATGCAAATTAAGTAGTCATTTTCAAAAATGATGACTGTAAAGTCCAATATCCTTTAGCAGTCCCTTGAGTCAGAGTTAATAAAATTCTAGCTATGGATTTTTTGCACCCGTGTTGGCAGAGAAATGCTATATAATTGCAGATTACATAGCTGATTGATGGTGACTTCATGAGTCACACAAAAGGATAATGAGCCATTTCTTTAATAAAAAGTATTTAATGACACCACCACCACCACCATCTCCGGCGGCAGTCGGCTGGCCGGAGTTTGGGTGGCGAGCGCCACAACAACGGAGGCACCAAAGTCTTCCCGGAGCGCACGAGCAGCAGTGGGGACCTGGGCTTTCTGCCCCTGGACTGTGCCCCCAGCAACTCCGATTTCTTCCTCAACTGGGGCTATACCTACCGCGGGGTGATTTTCCCCACTCTCCGTAACTCCTTCAAGTCTCGGGACTTGGAGCGCCTTTACCAGCGCTACTTCTTGGGCCAGCGGCGCAAATCTGAGGTGGTCATGAACATCCTGGACGTGCTGACCAAGCTGACCCTGTTGTTCCTCCACTTGACCCTGGCCTCTGCTCCCATGGACCCCATTAAGGGCATCCTCTTGGGCTTCTTCACCGGCATCGAGGTGGTGATCTGTGCCTTAGTGGTGGTCAGGAAGGACACAACCTCATACACCTACCTGCAGTACAGCGGTGTGGTCACTTGGGTGGCCATGGCCACACAGATCCTGGCAGCCGGCCTGGGCTGTGGCCTCCTTGGGGACGGCATTGGCTATGTGCTCTTCACGCTTTTTGCAACCTACAGCATGCTCCCGCTACCACTCACCTGGGCCATCTTGGCTGGGCTGGTCACCTCTGTCCTGCAGCTCGTCATGCAGCTGGTTATCCCCAGGCTGGCCGTGACGTCCCTCAACCAGGTACCGTGGTGAGAAAAGGG